CTTTTGAATAACTCGAAGGGAACACAAGATCAAGACTTGCGTTTTTCACCATTCGATGGCCAAGACTTGAACCTATCTTTCCATAAGCAAAAACGGATTTCGGAAAGCTTTTCGAAGCCGGTTTTACTAAACCGGGTTAGTTTTTTGAACCCGAAATGTGCGATCTTAGAGATCTGACGAATATTATAAAGTTTGAACAATGCTTTTTGAGGATTCGAAATCTAAATCGAAGACCAGTTTCTAAAAAAGGTTTTTGTATAATTTTCTGCCACGGATGAAGAATATCAAAGATTTAACAAATTATTATTAAGTTTAACTAATAGTTGTCGCAGATCAGCAATCTGAATCTGGTATCAATTTTGAACCTAACTTTTGGGTGCGCAACGAGCAATGCTTTTAGATACCAGACGTATTATTATGGAGTTTTACCAAAGATTTCTGAGTATCAAGAATCTGAATCTAACGTAAGATCAGTTGATGAAAATTGCGATGAAACTTTTACATTCAGATTTTCCAAAAAGAAAATTCGTTTACAAAACAAATTAAAAATCGATTATAATGCCACAATTTTAATCTGGTATTGAATAGATTTTTCAGCCTTAAAGACCAGATTTTATATGATTTTACAGTCTCTTTAATTTATTAAAGTCAGTTAAAAAAATTTAATCAATTAAAATCAATTTCTAATAATCAGTTGTGATTGGTATAATTTTAGTAATCGATTAGAATAGAGCAAAATCAAAAAGTGTGAACTTTAAGGCTGAAGAATCTGATGAAAATAGTGCCATTATAATCCATTTTTAATCAGGTGTTAAACGCCTTTTTTAACAAGAGAACTTTTTGAGTCGATAAAGTTAATATAGGTGGTCAGAGTCCATAACACTCACCGAGGCCATATCATTTGTTTTACTTTTTGGCAGCTTCTCTGTTGTTCTTTCCTTTCGTTTGTTCGATGACCAGACTCCAAATGCCAAAATCTGACAAATTGTGACGAGTTTTGTCGGATACCGATGAGGTCATATCAAATATTTATGGTAGTCCGATAAAAGGATCGATTCATCGTATAATGCGTTGACCGTTGACGACAACGGCTGGAAGTTTTCTATGACTCTTTCTGAAGTTTTCTTGGTTTCAAGAGTTTTTGAATAAAAAGATAGAAAATAATGATGGAGCACTGAATAACACGAAAAAAGACAACGCATGTGGAAAGAAAAGATTTTGATTAGTTTATTAAATTTAATGAATTTTAATCACGACAGTCGTAAAACGAGTTTTGGTAGAACTTGAACTGAGATACACAAATTTTTGAATTGGTTTTTGTACTTTTCGGCTTAACAAATGATAAGTACAAGTTTGTAAAAGACTTTGGTATCCGCCCTACTTCGGGATACTATTGCTCCCCAATCACGAAAGTAAAAATGACCACAAAATATCTTATAGCGAAACATTTTTTGATTGAACCCATCAGACTCTGCTTTTCAGCTAAGATTTCATTTGATTTGAATCAATCTCGGAACATAAAAGAAACAATTAAAAGCTTATATTTTTCGTTTTTTTTCACAAAGCAAGAAAATCTCCGAAAAATGATACAGAGATTTTAAAATTTTTCAGAAGCCGAGTATCTTTTGTTATCGGCGGCGACGGCTGCTCAGCCGAACAGCTTACGTCGCTACATTCAAGCACGCAGTGACATACACTCACACCGGCACACACACACTGATACGCCATACGGTCCTTTATTCGGTGGATCACTCTCATGAATAAAAACACATTCTATCTACCCAAATCTAATCTCGCAAACTCTTATGAATTTAAATTGACATTTTGTACTCGATGATTTCTGTAATCGACGACATAGAGATTGCTGTGTCGATCGAATGACAAACCGATGGGCCAATTGAGCCGGTTCGATTGTCCTCCTCCACCGTTTCCACCAACAATGACACTTCCCTTTGTGGCTCCTTTGGGCCAACGCATTATTCGATGATTCCATTGATCAGCCACATAGACAGTGCCCAATTGATCGACAACGACTCCTTCAGGACATGACAAATGTGTAAGACCATTTCCTTCTCCTTGATCACCAGCCACGACAATGCCTTGTTTTGCACCTTTCACCCATTTCATCACACGATGATTTCTCCAATCAGACACGTATACTGAATGATCTCGATCGACGAATACCTAGCGTGGGTAAGAGAGTTGATCGAGACGATTTCCACTTCCATTGCCACCTGCAACCACTATTCCTTGAGATTCTCCTCTTCGATATCGTCTCACCTCATATTTTCCATAGTCAACGACATAGAGAGATCCATTCTCGTCCACTGTCAAACCCCAACAATTGATGTTGGAGATGATTGTTTCTCCACTTGTCCCATTTCGACGAGGCCATCGAATCACTCTTCTATTCGAATAATCGTAGATGATGAGACTATCTTTCTCTTTGTCGACAATCACATCTAATGGGTCAGACAACTGATGAGTCCCATTTCCTTGTCCATTTCCACCGGCAACCACTTGGCCACTCGTCGCACCCCATTTCCATTCCACAATACGATGATTCGCTCGATCAGCGATATAGATTGTTCGATCATCATCATCAACATCAACATACAGACCCCATGGGTTTGAAAGTTGATTGATTCCATTGCCATATCCATTTCCTCCAGCCACAGTGAGACCATTCTGTTGCCATCGAGCATTTGGATGAATGTCAGCTGATAGTGAGAATATTGAGATGAAACAGAGCTTTGGAGTATGGATGAACACTGATTTCAATTGAATTAAGTCTCTCACTTCTTTTGAATCGAACACAACAATGGTTTGATGAGTTTTAATTTTCATTTGAAGTTAATCAACTTTATTTTTACCACTAGAAGGATGATTCCATTCGAAGTCAATCATAAAAATACAAAGTTCATCAGAAAAGCTTTAAACATCGCCTGTCTTGTACAGATTTTCGTGCTGCTCATTTTGGCAATAAAATATTTTCAGATCGAAAAGATATAAAGATTTTATGGTCAAAATACTGAAGCATGTAAAATCTGAATCACCTCTTCAAGGTTTTCAGTATTTTGATGATAGCATCTTTATTTGTTGAGTGATTTGAAACATGTTTTATAGCAAAATAATCAGCGCGGAAAACTCTACAAAATACAGTATGTTTAACGCGTTTAAAATATCTTCATAGTTTTCCATTGATTAACATTCGTTTGGAAGGTGAGCATAAAAAAAGTTGATCCGTTCATTTCAAAATGGCTCTATTCTATTCATATATAGCATAACAGGTTTTGTAGAGCGAAGTCGCCAAAAAAAACCCTATATAAGCTTTCCCATACAGGATTGAATATCAGTTTTAAGTCGAAGTTGTCCGTCCCTTTCCTCCATTATAGACCATAGTAATCCCTTTCGCCCGAATTACATACCCTCAAAACCGGGATCGAATCATGCATATTTATAACAGCTTTTGCTGCCATTTAATTTAATGTGTATGCTAATAAAAGTGTAAAACATCGAGTGAATAGTAACAATAAAAACAAAAAACTGGGTGGCCGTAAGGAAACAAAGCAACATTTTCGTTTGAAATGTAGAAATGTGTTTGCTGACAATTGACCATCACGGGAAAAGAACTATTGCTTTTCTTTTAGAGGTTTTACAGATTGTGTATTTTGTATTAGTATAATTGTTAGGTGGTAATTCGCACATCTCTACCCACTTATTTCTTATGTATATGTTCATATTCGGTATTTTTCTTCATTCTACTATTGACTCATATATGTTTGATTTTTACTTTTCTGTTATCACATATAT